GAAAACTTCCATTTTAACGTGTAGACGCGTACTGAACGCGGTCCGGATGCCCTACTCCAAGGTTTTTCTGGTTTCATGTTGGGACAATACAAATAAATATTATAACTAGTATCCGCGAAATTCACCCCAAAAGCGGAATTCCTGAACAAGCGATCGTGGTCCGACAGCGTCTAGTTTTCCCTCTTCGCGGCAGGAACGTATTCATGTTCTTTAACGGATCGCGTAGTCAGGAAACACTCTAACACTGATTTTGACCCCTTTCCCAGCTCAATCGCGGTGCAGACCCCAGTCGTGGCGTTTTAACGACGAGGCATTTTTTGACCGAAGCAACGCAGCAATGCCCGAATTGCGAGGCGCTTTCTGTCCACTCCCCAGACCGAAAGAGCGCCCGAAGCGCCGTCGCCACGGCGTAACGTAGGAGAGTTATTTCAGTTGCGACTGCAGCTGAAAAAAAAATATATATTGCTCTTTGTAATATACTCAAGTTCGTTGATCTCAGCGAATGATTCCAGCGGTTGCGCTAGGGCTGCACATTGTAGCCATAAAGCTACAATGAATGTAGAAGTAATTCCGTGATAGCAAAAAGCCAGTATCTTTCTTATTGCGAGCCTCCAAAGCAGAGATTGTAAAAACGGGAATAACATAAGTGTTAGCTGCATTGTGCAAGATGAAAGTGGAATGCGTTTTCTTGTAATTTATAGTGAGTGGTGTATTCGAGATAACATTTTATTGAGCAAGACCCGAGGCACGCGAAGATGAAGCGCAATACATATCCAACTCGGGGAATATAAATCTAAAGAGTTACGTTTCCTTTAAGTTCTATCGTTTTATTCCACCTCCAATTCTTTAAGTTCTAAGCTTCTTTTTTTTTTTCAAGAGGCCGACGTACACTTTGCGCCTTACACTTCTCCTCTCCACCTTTCAACTTCCCCTAACCCTCTTACACGGCTGTCCTCGCAGCTAGGAGAGCAGGGCACTAAAACGATTATCTTCCCTGCAAAAGACCGAGGTTGTAAGTCGGTCTTTAACTCTTGTTTAATAGCTGTTCCGTACAAATAATATTAACAACAATGTTAGCAACGTATTTTTTCAATCTCTTGTGCTTTTCACAGAAAAAAACTTCGTGACGTACTCGTATGATTTCTATGACTGCAGAACATCAAATCGTTCAAAGGTGAATCACTGGTGGAGATTTTCCAGGCAACCATGATAACTCAGAAAACCGCAAAAGCCGTATTTACTGAAATTGTTTCCAGCCTGAGGCGGTACGCCTCACTCTGGAAACAATTGTTTCGAAACACCCGAGAGCCATAGTGGAAAGTTTGTTGAAATGCGAAAAAGCTTTTAGCACTTTACGCAATTTAAGACCTGAAAAGGTATTGTTACAGGAAATGGAATTTCCAATAAAGTAAATAACAGCAAATCATGTGCTCACATCGGCTGATTCTTAATACTGAATCCCTCTCTTTATAATAATGTATGCACTTTCTACGGAATGCCTTTGGGGCCCCTGCTTATAAACCTGCAAGAACGACTCTCTAGTATATTTAAGAGCCATAATGCTACAAAAACGAGCAATTCATTTGATATAAACAATATATTATTAGTAATAAAAAGGTAAAACTTTTTGAAGTCATGCATATCCAGAAACCGTCCTTTCAAATGTTTGCCTAAAATAGAACCACTAGTATGCTCACCAGAAATATTTACAAGTATGTACAAAAAAGCAGAAGTCTAAAGCAGACTGTTAACTTTAGACTCTATCATAAAGTTTTTGACATTAAAAAAAATCATCGTCTCACTGAAAAAATTATAGTAGTCGTATCTGTGCTTAGTACAGGGAAATATCAAAAGGTAACGACTACATAAAGAATTGTTTTTCAAGATCGGGCATAAAGAAAAACGCGCAACCGATTCTGTGAATGACAAATCATTTTAATGAGGATTTCTAGATAATACAAGTTTTTTTTTTTCGTGCTAACTTAGCAGGTAGCGTTTTTTTTTTTTTTTTAATTGTGTTCTGTATGAGAGATTCTGCGTACGGACCATGCACGTGCGATGTACGGACTATGCACGTGCTGGGTGGGGACTAAAGTTCGAAAAACACGGTAGATTAGTATTCCGTATATTGTGTTGTATTACCTGTTTTATATGCAGTTCCCTTCACCGTGTGCAGCCTGTGCAGCATGTAAAAAACGGAGGGGACCTTAAACTCTCAGTCGCATCATAAAGGTGCACTTAACACTGGACGAGGCGGTGGAAATTAAACATGGTGTAGGTGTAACCGCGCGTAACAACGAGGGCTAAAAAAAACCCGTCCCTTGTGACAATTTCTATATTGTACAAACCGGTCAGGGAGCACGACGATTCTTCGAGAGCCACGGTGGGTGGGCATCTATTGGTGCAGCCTGGGACTTGCAAGAGTAAACCATCCTTCGATGATACCTCTATATTTGAAATGCACCGAGATGAGGTAACGAGAGAACTGTATATGCGGCAGCGTTTTTTAGGGGACCCTGCCCCTGGACACTGATTTGCACAAAGTCCTTGAACACACAGTTGAAACGTTCAATCTGTCCATTACTTTGGGGATGGTACACCGAAGAGAAGGTGTGTCGCACTCCCCGTTCTGTCAAAAATGCTTTAAACTCAACAGACACGAACTGAGGGCCATGATCACTCACAAGCTCAGTAGGGTAGCCTTCCCGGCTAAACACTGCCCGCAAAAACAACATGATCTTTCATGACGTCACAAGTGCCATCAGACAGACTTCGGGCCACTTACTGAAATAATCTATTAGTGCTACAGCGTACCGGCAGTCGCTGGGAGCATTGGCAAAGGGCTCAATGATGTCTACTCCCACATTTTCCCAGGGAGCAGACGGAAATGCAACTGGATGCAGAGGGGGTACCACGGGTTTCGCAGACTTGTCAACTGCTTGATAAACACCGCAGGACCTAGCTGCAGTTTCAATGTGTCTGTTCATTCCAGGCCACCAATGCGAGTCTCGAGCCCGCTGTTTAGTTCTTGTTATTCCAGGGTGAGCTTCGTGGGCTAGTTCCACAATCTTCGCAGTAAGAGCGGTAGGAACAACAACCCGATCCCCCCTAAACAGCAGGTTTCCATTCGTGGAAAGTTCTTCTTTTATTTGGTGAAAGGTTGCCAGGTCGGGATGCAGCTTCTTTCTTGGTTACCAGGTGCCGGTTCTCAAAGCAATCACTTGTTGCAGACGGTTGTCCTGCCGAGTCTCTTCGACTAACTCTTGCTGCGATAGACACGAAGAAATGGCAAAGACAACCTCGTCTTCCTGGGTCTCTCCGGGCGCATCAAGAGGCATACGCGAAAGAGCATCTGCCACAAAGTTGTCTTCTCCCTTCTTGAAGACCATGGTGAAGCTGTATGCGAGCAAACGAGCCTACCATCTTGCAATCCTGAATGGTCGTCGGCCAGTCCCTTGCGAACCCAACAGTGTCAACAGTAACTGGTGGTCGGTCTGCAGCGTAAAATGCCGACCCCACTAGAAAACCCGCCAGTGCTCGCACACTCACATACAGGCCAACGCCTCGCGCTCTCCAGCAGAGTATTACCGCTCCTGTGGCATTAGGGTTCGAGAAGCAAAGGAGACGGTCACAAGGTCTCCATTTTTCTTCTGCTGTAGAACAGCTCCAAGGCCGTATGCTGAGGCGTCAGTTGTCACGACCACGGGCAGCTTAGGGTCGAACATTTGGAGAGGCTCACAGGAAAGCAAGGACTTCAGTCTCTGAAAACTGTCTTCCCGAGCAGCCGTCCAGCGGAAAGGTTCGCACTTGCGTAGTAGCTGACTAGTGGTTCTGCCAGCTCTACATACCGAGGGATGAACCTAGCGTAGTAGCCGACCACGCCCAGAAACGAACGTAGCATGGTGACGTCTGTAGGTGCTTGAGCCTTGACAATCGCGTCAACGTGGCTTTGCATGGGTGACACTCCCCGCTCGCTGAAAACATACCTCAAGAATTACAGCTCCCGAACATTAAAGATGCACTTGTCGTTTAAATTCAAGCCCGCTTCGCTGATGCGACGGAGAACTTCATGCAGATTTTTGAGGTGCTCCTCTTTGGTAGTTCCAAAAACAATTATGTCATCCAGATAGCAGCGTACTTGTTGACATTCCTTCAGGATTGTACTCATCATTTTCTGGAACGCAGCAGGAGCCGATGTCAACCCAAAACAAACCCTAGTGAACCTGAAAAGTCCATCGTGGGTTATGAACGCCATAAGGTCTCGGCTTTCCAGGCACAAAAGGTCCTGATGGTACGCGCTCGATAGATCCAGGCGTGAAAAGTACTTAGCTCCGACTAGTGCTTGTAGCAGTTCCTCAGTGCAAGGCAACGGAAAGCTATCAATTATGACAGCATTGTTTACTTCTCTTAAATCGACACATAGTCGAACTTTCCCGTTCTTCTTTTTACTGCCACGATCGCTTAGACCCATTCGGACGGATCAATCCTCTCCATGACGCCTGCCTGTAGAAGTCGCTGAAGCTCTTCGGAGACTTCGTCCCTGACAAAAAGAGGAAGTCTTCGCAACTTGGCAGAAACGGGCTGAACTCCTTGACGCGTCTTCACCTTGTGAGCGAACCCCTTCGCGGTACCGAGGGTGCCGTCAAAAAGGTGAGCGAAGTCATCTACCAAATTTCGAGGGAGTCCAGATGGTACGCACGTGGTGTTGAAATATTTCAACGCGCTACCGCTGATCTCAAGGGATAAACAAGCGATGGCGCCGATGCCGAGTATGTCCGTACCGTTCGGGACAACGAAGAAGCGTACAGAAGCCTTGCACTCCGTGTGACCGACAGCAGCAACAAAGCAGCCTGCTACGGCGATCTTCTGCTGTGAAAAATCGAACAAACTTGCGACGTACCTTGCAGCTGGTAAGCAGAACTGAAATTTCTTTTGTACGCATATTCCGACATTATGAAAACTGCTGACCCTGTGTCAACCAAGAATGAAAGGGGTGTTCCTTAGACTTGAACTGAAATGTAGATACCGCTCTTCGGTTTATCGTGCACGTGAAGAATACTAAGAACGTCCTCGTCAGAGCACGCAACTTCTGCGACAGTACCCCCTTTGCTAGTGTGACTGGCGGTACTCTTGCAGACAACACGAAAATGTCCGACTTTCCCGCATCCAGCACACTTTTTCCCTCTTGGTTTGCATGTAGCGGAATTTGCAAGATGTCCCGACGACCCGCAGCGGTAACATTTCCTCGAAGTGGAGGATGAAGGTTCTCCCTGTGTACGCTGTGGTCGCTCGGCTTTCGGAGACTTAACGTCCACCTTCTGCACCGATGAAGACGATACGAGCTCTTTTGAGTACCGGACCGCTTCCTCGACCAGTCGGCCGATGGACAACGCCCGGTCCAGGGTTAGACCACTTCCTTCCAGTAGTAGACGCTCTCGTAACTGCTGGCTCATAGTCTTCGCCACCAGCTGATCTCGGATGAACTCGTCCGCCAAGAGTCCGAACTCGCAGTCCGCCGACAGGTCTCGCAGCTCGGCAACGAATACTTCAACAGATTCCCCCGGTAGCTGCGCTCGCTGCCTCAAGCGGTGTCGTGCAACGACCACGTTCGAAGTCGCCGCGAAGTAGGTCTCCAGGGCCGCCAAAGCGACATCGTACACGTCCTGCGCAGTCGGTGTCTTCGTGCCGGCAGTTGTTTCCTGCAGTGGTACCGGAGGATGCGTCTCCGGAAGTGTGTAGAAGACTTTCTGTCCTTCAACACCGAGGCAATGTAGAAGTGAGGCCTTCCGCCGAGCAGGTCCATAAGCATCGCCCCCCGAGGCGAGCAAGTAATTTTGGAACACCCGCCGCCACTGTTTCCACGGGATAGCAGGTCTCCCAGGAGCGGGAAGGAAAGGAGGCGGCACCGCTAGGCTCATGCTTGTCGGTACATCCTCGTCGCCAATCTGTTGTATGCTGCCGTGGCAGTTGAAGTCGACCGCCCTGCTTCAGTACAGATGAAGAACAACCTTTTTTTTTTTTTTTTAATTCGATCCTCTTCTTCTTTAGACTATATACAAATGCAACAGTAGCGCCGCCACAACAATACGGACACTCATGTACTGATGCCGTTTAGGTTAAGTAAGGTAGTTATACGCTTTGGTTATTAAAGCTATATTGTTTTATGCTTGTTAGCTTCCATTTCCCATTTATTCACGGTACCCATCACAAGAACGGCGTCCAAGTCAGCGCCGTTCATGCGGCACCTGCCAATCGATTTCGTCAGCCTATTTTGTTTCTACATGGCTCTGAACTGCGCGACCATTCCAGTTCATGCAAAACGCTTCTCGCTGCATTTTGGCATACAACAATCAAGCTTGTTTTCAGTGGTTATTCCTGGGGGACGATGTCGGCCAGGAACACCTGGGCGCACACTTGCCTCATTCGCTTCTAGTCGACTATTCGACGTCAAGAGATGACGCCTACTCGAATCAAAGACAAAACTCTTTGTGCAAATCGATTCCAAGGTGCAAAGTCCGGTGTTCGCCTCTGCTTCCAATCAAGTGCATGACACCTTTTATTCACCACTCGATTTCCCGGCTGGACGCCTGTTGGACATGGCGTGATGGATTACACACCAACAACGGGCTCATCTGTTTTCAATCACCCACGCCGCCTAGCCCCAAAAGGGCTAAGAATTGCTAAGGCAGATTTTAGACCCCCAGTTAGAACTCGGAACAGTACCGTCATGATCCAGCATTGGGGCGTCGCTGTGTCACATGGTTTCACAAACGGTCGATGTTTGGCAACTATGCGGAGATTGCCGCATTATGAACTAAAGCACCGTTTCAATCCTGTATCCGCTCCAAAACAGCGAATATTTGACCGTGCAGTCTTCGCCGATATACCATCTTTTGGAAAACGGACCTCACATACCATAAAATTTATTTAACTAAAGAGGGCATCACCACAACAGCTGTCATAACGCCCTCGGCGTACTTTAATTTCTAGGCCTGCCTTTTGGCCTCAGTAATGTTTCGCCATCATTTCAACGATTTATTGAGTACCTATCTGGCGACGGGATTACCGTTTATCCTTACATACTTCAGCAAACTGTGCGTCGAAAGTTCATCTGCAGAAGAGCACAGCACACCACACCACGCATGGCATCATTATAAACTCAGCAAACGACCGGATGCGCTCTTGCGGAGCCGTCATAAAAGTCGTCGCAAGAGGCTTAAAACCTCTCTTGTCTCAGACGCTCGAATATACAAAGGCAAGTGTGTGAACGGACAGTTACTCCGCCACCGCTCTGATACCTTAGCCTTTTAGAATGTAATATTGGCGAGTTAGTTTGGGTGAGTCGCGCTGTTTTTCGCTATGATGTCTCAGGCATTTGACCTGTACCTGCTGCTCAGGGCTATTTCTTTCTTCCCGTGGCGAAGATCACTATTTTACAGGCACTCTATTAAACACTGCGCCAAGCTGCTTCAAACATTCAACCTTCTTTGTGAGAAAGGACGTTTCGCTGTTCCTCTTTTCGGGAATTAAGAAGCTGAGGGCGCCTTTTATGCAGCGAAACGAGCCTTCCTGAAGACCACCAACCTTCTGCAACTCCTATATGCATCGCACCAATGTCGATCACGACGGCCGCCTCGACTATTTCCTTCGGAGCCACACCGCCGTCACATCGACGGCCAGTGGCAGCCAAAAGGTTAGAAGATCTAGACAGGCCATGCCGTCAACCCCGCAACTACAGCAAATCATTGCCTCTTGACGCTCGCTCCTTTTTCACGCTTTCTCACTCCCCCATGCCAAACCAAAACAAACCGCTTTAACTAGAGGCGCCAGCGGTTGTTGATGGCTTTACAGCGGCTCACGCAGCTTATAACCTTCTTGCCTGAGCCAAACCAAAACAAACCTCCTCGCAGATGACACCCCATAACGCTCGCGGTTGTTAAACGGCGCTTGGCGAGTGCAAGCATGCCTGAGCGTGGAGTTCAGTCCCGGTCGTCTTTGCCGAAAACTGGCCGAGTGTCGACGATCGTCATGACGTTCTTCTTCTTGGTGAACGGAGCAAGGCTGTAGACAGGCCCGTTGCTGGACACTCCCGCCAAGCATGATCGCGACACACTTTCTCATGTACGTCGCCTGCTGCTCCTGTTGGTGCACACCCGAACTGAAGAAAACCATCGAGCGCCGATTGCGTATGACCTCACGTATGTCCGAATAAACTTAGATGTTCCTTAATCTGAGCGGAACAAGCATGCGGCTGTATGAAGACATCGTGATTGGCGTAAAATATGTAACTAGGTCTTACACTTTGAGTATGTTGACGACTTAGCTTAGTTTGAGACGTTCAGCAGAGACTGCGCGGTCTCTGCGCCAGCTTCCTTTCTCTTGTAGTTTAGCTTTAATTTCATGTCTATTTTAGCAATGTCCTGCTAACTGAACAGCACGAGCATCTTGTGATCGCACCTGATGTACTATTGTAAGTAACAATTAAATCCGTCTTTATCACCCAAACGTCCCAGAAGTGTTTTTTCTTCACCAGGGGATAGGGTTCCGAATTCGAACAAGTAAACATATAAACTGTCACTGAAAGAGTCCGGCTCTACGCTTTCTTCGATACGCTCTTGTCATCTGCTTTGAACTGCACAGAGTCAGAGAGTCCGTACACTCGGATTTCCTTCGATGGGGTCGTCATTGCCGCGACGGTGACCGAGGAACGAAACCCATCGCTTTCTCAGTTCGGTGAGCTTCGGAGGATTACCAATTAACTTACGTTACTGCAAAATTCGTAATGTAATTCACGAGAGCCTTACCGTTGAAACGTAATTCCCACAGAAGAACGACCGGTGCGATTTTTGCAGCCTCACTGCACAAAGCCCCATCACAGTGACGCGCGACACCAGAGTTTAGTTACGCCGCCTTGAATGCTTCGTGCATCTGCTGGTGACCGTACACCGTACGGAACAAACGCAACGTAACGCAAAAAGAAAAAAAGGTGCACTCGTTGTTTGCGTAACTCGGGCCCTCTCAGTGTTACAAAGAGTTGTTAATGTTTACATTATCCTTATTTACGTTGTTTTATGACTAGGCTTCAAGCAAATGACGTCATGCCCTCTCCATGTTTTCTATCATCGTTGATGGCAGTCACTGGCCTTCTCTCTGAAGAACCTCAAACACACAGAAACGCGCTACAGCGTCTTTGACTGGGAGGCACTGGCTGCCTACTTGGCTGTACAGTCAGTTCCGAAACCTTGTCTAAGGAAGTACATTTACCATCTCAAGAGGTCGCAAGCCACTGACCACTGTCATCTCCAACACATGATCTTAATGCACAGGGGGTTCCCGAGAAAATGGAACTGTGTTTTGCGGCCCAGGTAAATAAACTACGCATCGACGAATGCTCAAACTCCAGCTACGTTCCAAATCTTGCCCGAGTAACCTGTCTCCTATACGTCAGCGGATAATACCACGTGACATCGCGAATAAACCATCCGCGACTCGATTTTGGAACGGCCCGAATAATCACCTGGATACTTCGCGGATCGGCTTCGTCTTGGGCTATGGCAAAAAGAAGACATAGCAACGATGGGAGAAAATAACAGACGAACCTTTTGATCATGGAGAAAGCACTCGAAAAGACGATCATATTAATGGCGCGGTGTTTTCTGAGGTGGATCCACCAACTCCTTTTACCCACTTTCTTTTTGAGCTGTATATTGAGATCCAAATTACTTACTCCTTACAGTTAGACATGAAAAATTTGTTTTTCTTAATCAGCGCGACTGCTGTAATTCTAGTTCAGGTGACCTAAACGCATGTATTCCACGCATTGTAATTTGCACCGATTATACGTTTTGCAGAAATTGCTTCCACACGTTGTAGCGGTACAGGGCAGGGTGTTGTCTCAAGAGTGATATGTAACCTACGTTCGCCCTCTCATTAGACACTCTCTAGGGGAAACAAAACACGACCTCATCATTTTCTGCGCTCAAACATGCTCAACCTTGGACGTGAGAATACGGCATTCCCTCCAACGCAGAAATCGAGGATGCGGAGAAGCTCCTGTTTTCGCTCGCACTCTGATAATGCCAACAAGTATACCATCCCGGGGAAGGTGCATGGTCTGGATGAAATACAGTCAATTCTTCCGTTAAAAACAGAAAATCGCAATAACCACACACAAATGGCTGCACCTCATTCTTTGTCACTTCAAAGTCAACCAAGTAAGAGAGCTTTGACGGTTGTCGACGCAGAAAGCAGACGACGAACAGATCACGTGACGTATTTATTCGATTTGATCCGACGTTAGCTCCCATCGGGGAGGGTAGTGTGAGTAATTACTCCGGAGTAAACAATCCGCTTCTGGAACGCGAGTTCTGACGTCATCGATAAAGCTTGAGTAAGTTTTGAAACGCCACGGTACGAAACGTTTACTCCGGAGTCGGATAGAGTAAATTTTGGAATACAGCCGGAGAGAATGTGACCCCAGCGCTCCGTATAAAATGCCAAGCTTTGAGAACATGGCGCTGCCGGGATCAAAAGACAATTGAAAAAAACGAACTTCCAACTCTTATCTATGCCTAATTTCGTCAAAACAAAAAATTACATTGTTGCGCTTGTAACAACTATTTCAGTAAAACATACTTGTTGGCAAGAAAATAATCAATATCCATTTTCTTGCTGATAAGTATTTTTCACTGATTTAAACCGCTCGGACGTTCACAATATCGTTTCTTCTTTCAACGATATTAGGCTTAGGTGGACGCCAGCTCATACCGAGATTTCATTTTTCCTCAATTAACTTGTAATCCAGGCACGTCGTCTTTTAAAACTTTACCGTTCTATCTATCCCAACTGCTTGACACCCCTAGAGAATTGGAGCAAATTTCAATTCTGCGACGCATGGCTTATTTATCCTGGCCAAAAA